CAGCAGGAGAGATCAAAAGTTGGCAGTGCTGAACAGGGTCCCTGGTAGTCCCTGGTAATTGGATTAGGATCAAAGTCTCTTCTTCTCTACTGGGCAGCAACCATGTAGCTACCATGCCATCAAGGAACTGGGAGGCTCAGCCTCCACAGGATGATTTCTGATTGTTAAGTATTACCGTGTATAAAACCAAGCTGGTTTGAGGGTGTAGGCCATCATCCAATTAAAGCAACCATTATGGACAGCAGGATGAAATACGTGGGGCAAAAATGAAACAGTTGGTGTTTTTTTTTGGTTTTTTTTTTTTCTGCCCCTAGTTTGCACATTTTACTGCAAAGAAAGAAATCAAGAATTCTTGTGTCTGGTTCCAAGTTTACATCTGTCTCTTTGTCTGTTTTATTTGTATTATGATGTGTTAGCCTTAGAAGAAACAATTGGAAGTGCCTGTGGTCTGTTCCCTTGTTCCTGCAAGGCAGTGTGACATACAAGAGTAATGGAAATTTTTTGCAGTTGATGATTCAAAATGCTTTTAGGATTTAGCCTCACAAGCTAGGTAAAAATGTTATATTTTCCTTTCATCTGATGATTTTTTTTCTTTTTCAGCAAAATTGTTTGTTTTTTTAAAAAAGATTGATACATGGAAAAAGCATTTTCCAAAACCAGATGCTTTTCAGTTGAAATTTCCTGTAGAAAACCTTTGATGAATTTATAAGAACCTTAATCTGGTCCTAACTATAATAGCTAATTAATCTTGGAATAAATATAGCATGAATACTCTATAGTAGAGATGAGGCACAGTTATTAATTATTAATAGTTAGTGCTGTAAGGCTGGAAGATAAGTACCCAGGGGAAAATCTTTCCTAAAACTCAAGTTGAAATAGAAACAGGGAGTGGCTATTTTCAGAAGTACTAAGAATGACTAGGTGTTTATTTTCCCATGATTCTCAGAGAGCAATAAGCACCTAATTGCTGTGCCTTTGGAAATCTCCACAAATGGTAAAGTAACTGCTCAGTTTGGTGGATGATTTAGCTGAAGTGCCTACACACTTGCAATCTTCCAGTAACAGAAGCTCACCACAGAAATCCGAGCTTCTGAATACTGCCTGTCAATTCCTTGACCTCCAAGTGAAAGTCTAGACTGCTTAATTGCTCAGTGGCTTTTCAATCAATTTTTAACTCATGCAAGTCAAGTCTTAGTGAAACATGTTTGCTTTTAGACATATTAGCTAACTCTGTGTTCCTCAGGTCTTGGTGAACTTCATAAGGAATCTCATTCATGTTTCCCCTGTTTAATCACTCTTTGCCCTTTTTTATCCCTGACTTTTTTTTGAATAAGAAATTGGCTTTTACAAATAGCTGTGAATGCTGACCCGGTCTCTGCTAATACTTCAGCCTGGCCTTTCAAAAAGAAATACCAAACACATTGTGTTGACATTTCAAGCAAATAGCTCTTAACTCTCAGTTCTCTTGGAACAGTACCGCACTACTCACCAATCCTGACAGAGGTGAGGTGATCATGTGAAGAGGTTAAGAAAAATAAACTTACATGTCTATATGTACCTTGACTGGCTTCCTATCTGTGAATTCATCCTGGATTATGTATCTCTGCAGTACTTCAGACTGTATAAAATACCTTAAATCACCTTACTCTTTCATGATCAACCCTCACTCCCTATTATTCAGAGCAAAATGTATAAATAATATATGTGTCATCTAAAAAAGAATAAAATGAGCTAGATATCTTGGTAAGTTGGTGAAACAATCATTGCCTCTCAATTCTGTTTCTCTTTTCCCCATAAAAGAAAGATAGTGGGGAGAGGGAAAAGGAGAAGAAATTATGCTGAGTTGCTTTTTGTTGTTGGTTGAAGTTTGGGGTTGTTGTTTTATTGTTTTGTTTTTGTGTACCTGTCTCCTTTAAATTTGTCTTTGAAATGTTTATTTTATTATTGTCTCAACTGCATCTTATAAACAATGGTAACATCAAGTATGCTTATACAGTGCGATTGCAGTATCCTAACAGTAGGGAGGTGCCTTTTCCAGTTTATGTGTGTCTCAGTGAAAGAAAAATCCTACTTCCCATTTTTGGTACCAAATGCATGTACAACATTGTCATTACCTGCTGTCACCCTTATTAACTGCTATTCTCTGTTTGCCTTTCCAGCACTGGCTTGAGCCCAACAAATCTGTCTTCAAGCAGATGAAGTGTAAGTGTTGAGAGCTTGTGTTTTTAAATAATTTTTGAAATGCCCAAAGGTTCCTGTGCTTCCATGCCGCAATTTATAATATGCTTTATTTGATTTCTGGTGCGAATAAGCCCTTCATATCCTGTCTGGACTCCTAAAAACTCCATGTAACCCTCATTTCACTGGGTCACAGTGCTCTGCACACACAAATATTTCCCTTGCTGCTCAAGGCTGTAGCCAGAGGCTAGCTGATGCTGTCCCCTTCCTATCCCATCCATCTTTCCTTTCTTCCTATCTATCCATCCAATTACATGGTTTGTTTTTTCATCTTTTGCCTTTTTCTCTTACATGCTGCTAGCACATAAACTGGCAAATTAATAGGCCTGTTGCACTGGAATTTGCAGTCAGTACTGTTCTCCACTCTAAAGTCCTTTGAAATTGTTTTAATTGTGAATAATTTTTAGTGAGAAAACAAAGCCTGTGATGTAGGAAATACTGAAAAAGTCTTGGGCATTTTACTATACCAGCTGCCCCTTATGTGACAGTTGAATGACCACTTTAAAGGAAAATGCTTACAGCTATTACAGAACTGATTATATTCACACTAGTTTTGTGTTGAAGAAATGTTCTGTCAATTGAGTTGTTGTTTTGGGAAAGTTTGTTGTTCGTTTTTCCACTACAGTATGTGAGTAAGTGGTAGAAAGCAAATTGCTCTCAAGGAATTGAGGAACTGTCTGCCTTGAAAATCTTATCTCAATTATACAATTCATTGCCTGTCTGGCTTTCCACTACAAGAGTGTGGTGAATGGGAGACTATGAGGTTCTCATATGTGTTTCTCCAGTGATGTAAAATCTGTAAGACAAGGGCCTTACTAAATGTTTCTGTATTATAAAATGCATTTTTGGAGGAACATTAGGCTTATGATCTATTTTAAAATTAAGATGGAAAGGAAAGTGGATAGCTGTGAGGGTTTGCTCCTTTCCCTTTCAAGTGTTTATTGTTTGCGACTGGTTTTCTTACTGGAAAAGAGGAGCAGAAAAAGAATATCCTATTTCCTTCTGTTAATTGCAGGGTGCCTGCTTATCCTTTCTCCAATGATGAACTGGATGGAAGGGATCATATTTTTTTAAGCGTTTCAAATTGCAGGTCAGGATTGTGCTATTCTTGCAGGTGTTGCTAAGAAAGAAACTGTTTAGCAGGCTGTGGCAGCCTTATTTTGTATTGCTTGCTGCACTGCTGAGAAGAACTATTGTTATAGAAGCTTGAGTCTAGGAAAAGGTTTGCAAAGTAGGATTCCAACTGCCTTTCCAAATCTTCTGCATATTCTGTGCATTAGTGTATACTTCTGCCATGTACTAGGAAAACATTTCCTATTATAAACTCTGCTATTATCTGAATGTGGGCTACTTTTTAGTGCAGTGTATGCCATCCTTTCCTCACTGTGATACTCTTTGCACACAGGGCTTCTGTTGCTTTTTTGCGGTTGCCACATACTGCTGGAGTGTCATTATTCAACCATAACTTCTATATGTATTTTTTCTGTGTTTTTACCATGGCTGAAGTTTCAGTTGTTTAACTGATAACCAAAAATTTGGGTAAAATTCAATCTTGTAGAAGGCTTGTACTAGCCAGGTCCTTGCAGAGCCATGCACTAGCTGTTCTTAATTCTGCATCCCTATTTCAAGCATAAACTACTTCTAAATCTGCCAGAACACTTAAAAGTCCTTTTTTTGCTGAGAAAGAGGTCTTGCTCATTTGATACAGATTGACTTTTATCTCACATTTTATAAGTGGAACAGTATTCTGCATGTGCAAGTTTTTTCTCTTGCATAGTTTTAATAAGTGTAGAAGTAGTAGTTAGAAGAGACAACCATATAAGGTGACTTCCATTATCTTTGGCTTTGTCCAGGCAGCATCACTCCTTAGTGCATTTCTGGATGACTGTTTTCCTTTCTGGGACACTGAACTGAGTTTGTCTTCTGGTTTGCCATTACAGGGCAGGGAGGACATTAACAGTGTCCTCTGTTTTGCACCTTATATCCAGTCACTGTGAGACAATGCTGTGGTCACATCTAAGATGCTGAAGCCTAGGAAAGCAGTCTGAGTGTTTCTCATACCTTCAGTGGGCTTGTCCAGAGTCCATTAGCTTAAATGTTCAAACCCTTGAGAACACTAAAGACTTGTTTTCCATTTTCTGTTGTTTGTTTCTGTTTATTATTGTTTCCTTTCTTTTTTTTCCCCTGTATTTTTCTTCTCTCCATCCTCATCTCTTGACCTTCCTCCTTGTGTCTTAAATGAGTAATCATTTAAACAAGTAAAAAAAATGGGAAATTAACAATTTTTGTTAAGGCTGACCAAAAGTGCAACATGATGTCTTGAAAGTGCGATACAGTCTTACAAGAAGCCTTTCATCTTCAAAGGCATTTTTACTTTCTGTTGCTTTTTTCATCATATGGAACTATGTGATACCCAGAGAGGCATTTCTGGAAAAATGCAGCATACAGGTAAATTCTGAAATCAAAATAGCTCCAAGTATATTATGATTGTTGAAGTAATTTCCACATGCAGTTCATGCAAGCTAGTGAGCCAGTAAGTGTGAGGAGATGGTACAGTAAAATGTTCCGGTAGCTTAGCTCTTACAGGTTGCAATAACTACAATACAGCTCTCAGTTTCACCTATTCTCCTATTTTCTCTGTAGTTTTCTTTTGACCTTTTCTACTGCCTTTCCTTGTTTAAAAGCACCATCTTTTCAAGATTCAGGAAGGTTAGATTGACTGTGTGCATTGAGTATACATTAAGACTAAGGGACTGTTAAGGTGAACTGCACTTTACGATGGTTAAAGATGTATGCATGCTGTATTTTAAAACAAAGCTAACCCCAAAACTCCAACTTCTTAAACGTAGGAGTTAATAAATGTTAAGACCTGCCAGTTACCATGGCCTGTGTAATCTAGGTGGGTTTTTTCCCCACACCATTTACCTTTTGAAGATGTGGTATTTTCCTTTGCTCTTCAAGCTGGAATTCAAAACATGAACGTTACCTGGTACCTGCATGTTCTCCCTGATGTGATAGTTTTAAACCTTCTGCTTGATTTTCACGTCTTTTATCCTAATGTGATTATCACAAGATGCCTCTTTGTTTAGAATAATAGTCTTTGATTTGCTTTCTGTCCCTCCTATAATCACTGAAAGATCATTGTCCTAGGATTAGACGACATCTTGAATGCTATCCAAGGTGTAACAGTGGGACATAAAGCTGTGCTCATTGATGTAAAACTAAGAGACAATGATTGCGTAATTAATTTGAATAGCATTACTGTGACTTCCCTTCTCCTTCTCTTCTTCCCCTTCCCCCTCAGAATACCCATCCCCCCTCTCTTTTTCTTTTCCTTTCCTTTTCCAAATTGAAAATGTTTTATGTAAGGCCTGGTATTGATATGATAGCTCAAGAGCAGGTAATGTAGTCTTGTTAAATACTGGAAGCAGAAATAGTTCTGTTGTCTCTAGCTTAATTAACAAAATATATTTAACAGTTACTTCAATTTTGTAGTCTAGACATTATCATCATCAGGAATAACAAATATACATCACATCTTTCTGTCTCTTTGTGACAAGAATAAATTGTTTCTTATTTATCAATTGCAAAAAAAAAAGAAAAAAAAAAGTTGCTCAAATGTGTTTTGTACCTCTTGGATCAAGCAGTAAGTCTTGTGAGGTACAAAATAGTTTATAACTTGATTTGCATAGGTTAGCTGTATTTTATATATGCTTTTGGCCTTCTTTGTCAAATGTTTTATTATTTTCATATATGTATAAAAGCATTTATTTGTTTTGTGTGAATACCTGCTTGATGCTCCAGAGCTAACGATCACACAGGCTACTCTGTAAGACTCTTGGAGGCCACTCCTTCGGAGTGGTTGAGGCAATTTTTGTTTGCTGCTGTTCTCATGCATTTTCTTTATAATATTTCAGCTCATCCGCCATATACCATGTGCTTCAGAGTGAAATTCTACCCACATGAGCCCTTGAAGATTAAAGAAGAGCTCACCAGGTATTTGTTTGTTTTTCTGTGCATCATTAACAAATTCAAAATAAGACAAATTCTGTTGTGTAGGGTAGGACTCTCACTGTTTTTGCTAAAATACTAGAGTAGACAGATACTACTACACAGTACACAGATGCACTACTGATATCTTTTTTATTTATTCTGATACATATGGATTTTTAAAAGCAGTTCAAGGAGACCTTTCTTTAATATACAAAGAAGTAGTGACACTGTTGAAGAACTTTCAGATAGAGAGGTCATCGTCAAATGACTGGGCAAGGATTACCCTGACTCTTCCCTTGGCAAGAATTGTGGTCTTGAGTAAGTTCCCTTTATGGCTTAGTTTTTCTGTTTGAGTGAAATATGCTGTGAAGTTTAATTCAGTAGTAGCCCTAACTCTTTTAACAGGAATATGAGGAGCCTTACTGAATTTTCTCCTGTGTGTGTCTTTAGGATGAAAACAAGGTACTATTTTTAAAGTACTGATTGACCTTTAGCAAACTGATGTAGGGGTGCAATATATTTGTATTTTTAACAGTACAACTGCTTGTCTTGGTGCTTATGTTGGAATTTTCCAGGCTGTGCTGTGCAACAAATCAGTCATACTTAATGAACAGGAGTTTTGTCTTTCCTGCTTGCCATTTTGAATTTCTGTTGCTCTCAGTATTGTTCAAGAAATGTACTTGGGGTGAAAAAAATGCAGGAAAGTAACAGCTCTTTTGACCTCTGCACCAATTGTGCAGAACTGTATGTACACCTTACCGTGCTGTCAGTCAGCAGGTCACATTGCTGACTGATAGTTGCATGTTGCAGAAGCACGGAGCGCCAGAGCACTTGTTGCTTTCAGTTCTTCATTGATGCTTTCCCCAAGATCTGCGAATTCTTATGCTCACAGGTCAGTTCATGAGTGGGATTTGATCCCATTATCCCTGGTCTCATACTGAAAGTTTCAGGAAGGGCTTGCATTTTGGTGAATGGTTAGTTTCTGTAGGCAGCTGAAACAGGAAGTTCACGTTTGCTATTTATCTTGGTGAAATACTGAAAATGCTTGTAAACGAAGAATCCAAAGAGTTTTCATTATTTGTTAGTGTTTGTCCTTGGATTAATGTTTTACTCTTTGCGAACCAGAGTATAAATTTTGTATAGACCTTCCTCATTCATAGTCCTTAATTAAGTGAACTAAGTGACACTTTTTTGTTTGTTTGTTTAGGTTTTTTTGTTTGGTTGTTTGGTTTGTTTTTTTTTTGTTTTAACTGCCTGGCTACCCTCCCAGAAGAAGTTTTATTGAAATACAAAGTGTCTGGAATTAGCTCACTGAAGTATATTGTGCTCTCAGTATGTTTTAGGCTTTGCTGGAACATTTAAAATGAATTTTAAAGTCAACTTGCTGTATGGAAAGTATTTGATGGTCTTTCATTAAAATTAATGGTATTAATAGCTTAAAAAGGAGAAATAATTTATCTTTATATATGTCCACCTAGTGCGTATGACACCTTTAAATATCTGATCAGCTTTATAGTTTCACAGTATTGCTATTTGGGAAGCTTTGCTTTGTCTCTGCCAGGTCTCTTACACAGTAACAAAGTATAGAACATGCTCCTGAACTCAGCAAACTAAACGTAGTCATGTAACTTGCCTCTGAGAATTTGCTTAATCATCTAAACCAGAGGGTCAGATTCAAGGTAATGCTCTAACCTGGCTTGAGTTCAATTTTTTTTCTTGCATTGCAGTGATGGGTGAAATTCAAGAAGAAAAAAAATCCATTAGTATTTGACAGAGGTCAACCATGAAACCTTGGTATCCTATTAGCTTTTTGGTAGTTTATTTAATTTATTTTTTTGTAAGCTCTGGTCTTCTTACTGCACAATCACTTGTGTGTGCTTAAAGTGATTTGAAAATAAATTATTAATTTTGTGCTCCCTTTTACTTAAAAACCATCTGCACTTCATAGCTGTATATACAGTCAACTGAGTCAGAGTAATGGTGGTTTGCATTTCTGCTACTCTCCATGCCTAAGCATGTCACAGAGCTGTTCTCTTGCTTCTTCAACTGGGTAGAAATTTGGTGGGTATCTGTAGTCCCCTTTTAGATGATGAGATTAGTATTCATCCTGCCACATTGTCATGCTGCTCTTTGGTCCAGAATGTTAATAAACTCTGTATAAATCCCCCATGGCGGGGGGATACAGATACAAAGACTGTTGGAACAGTCTTTGTAAAAGCTTTATAGGAATTAATCTTTAATGAAGTATCTTAGGCACATTGAAGAGATATACTGATGATAAAAAGAGCTATTTTCCCTACTCTTTAATACCAATATCTAAGATTAAATACATGAATCTATGTGTGTATGGGATAAATAGTTTAATTTCGGTTAAATCAATATAACACTATTCAGGAGGTTGACATCACTTGCAGGAAGAAAACTGAGGACTTATCATCTCAGATTATTGCTGCTTCGTTTTTGTCCTACTTTTGGTAAAATGGGCTTAACTGTAATCGTTAGGTAAGCCTATGGTTTTACAGGTGAAAATATTTTCAGGAAATTAAGGTGGAAAATAACCTAGCTGAAATCATGCCTTTGTCATTGATATTATAGGAAAAAAACCCTCAACCCTAAGAGCCTGAAAATGTGTGCACACCATGTATTTAGGGGCCAGGAGTGCCTTGGGCAAAGGATTGAGCTGTGTGCTTGCCTGTCACTACATTTTGTTCCACTGCTAAGGATGTCTGTGAATATTTTTCAGTCACATCATATCATTCCAGGCACTTATTTTCATCTTTCCTCGTTTTAAATGATAATCTCTCCCATAGCTATGCTTTTAGAATAAAATCAGTGCCTGCCTCTGGATGTTAAGGCACTTTGGCGTATTATTGCTAAGTAACCAATTCTGTGAACTTGGGACAAAATTTCCTCCTCTTACTGCAGAAGGAGGTTTTGTGTGGTCCTTGGACACTTTTCTCTGGAGTCAGCTGATGTTAGGATTGCAATTCACACAAGTTAACTTCAGTGGCTGTAGAGCTTGTCACCTTGAGCTCTGTTGTTTCTGTAATAACAGACTAAGAGAAACCCAACTTGTCAAGGAAGTCTAAGAGGGATGTTCCTCTATGCTGGTGCCATCTCTGAGGGTTTGACTTCTGCTTTATGAGTCATATCTGGAGGATGTCAGCCTCTTCTGAATGGTACATCTGTGGCTTTCTGGCTCTGATTGTCTAGCACTTACCAGGTGATCAGCTGAGCATCCCTAATGAGATAGTTGATAGGTTTTAGTTAGGCAATAGCACCATGACAGGCAGGTCTTCATCTCCCTTGTTCCCTGCAACACATACCTGTAATACAGGATTTCAATTTCTTTTCTTGTAAAATTAGTATCTGATCTGCAAACTGTTTCCTGGCTGGTCGCACACAGGACTGGGTAGAGGCCTTGAATATATAAATTGTCAGTATTATTGCTAATTTACTTACCTTCTAATTATTTTTTTTTCATCTTTTTTGTGCATTCCACTTGTATTGCCAGGCTTCATGGTGGGAGGGGTTTTTCTTTAGCTAAGTGCACAGAACCACCTGCAGAGGAAAGGATGTTCCAGAGTGTGCTATGATGGTTAAGATTATTCTGCTTGCACAGCATATAAAGGTATAAAATTACCATCAAGAAAGTTGTAACTACAGAGGTAATTCAATCCACAGTACACTTAACATCCCACGTCACTCTCAGGAAAGCACAGATCTTTCCAGATTGTGCTTTGCCTCTCTTTGCTATTCTTTGATCACAGGTCAGAGACCTGGGAGGGTCCACAGCCTGGGAAAGCCTGACATGCTGTGAACAGAAGGAGAACTGTCAAGGCAGTGTGTACAGGTTGATCCAAAGACTGGTCACACTTGGGCAGAGATTTTTACTATTTCATTTCTTTTCACTCTTCTTGTTTAGGTAATAAATAAATCATTATTTTTTCTTATGTAATAAAGTAGCCCAAGGCCTCATGCCTTCCTGTTCCCAAATCCCTACATCATACTATGTATATATTATTAAAATGAGATAACACAAAGTCATTCAAGGTCCCAAAGGAATTATCTGAAATGTTACAGATAATACTGTATCAGCAGTAATCCATGATTATTTTGGAAAAAACAGCCCTAGAAGATGGTGTGGGTGAGTAGGTGGTGGAATTAACCATAGATGAATTATTTCAACTAGATTTCATCATGCTCTTTTCTTCTAATCCACATTGCCTAATTCAAGATGCAGTTATTCAGTCACTAGGCTGTGATGAAACAATGTAATGAGTACTTTTATACAAAAAAAAGCAGATAAAAAAATGTTTAACTGGAAATCATATAAAATGACAAAGACTAGGGGTATGTAGACATGGCAATTTCAAGAGCCCTCAGCTAGGTTGGACGAAGAACAGTGCAACCATATGCATGCAATGACTGACTGATCTGGTCTCTAGCAGCTGTACTTGACATTGCCTTGTGCTGGAAGTGAGAGGTTAGTTGAGGCTGCCTTTCTTGACATGTGCAACTGTAACTATGTTTTGAGGCCACTGCAAGTCCGCTTGTGTTGCCTTTCTCGAGGCCAAGTTGGCACTTGGCAAGTGAGTTTATAGTTTTAATAGCATTGGACTCACAATCAGACTGAATACTATGTCTTAAAAATGAATGAGAGTTGGTAGTAAGAGCAGTTGATGGTGGCAAGCTTGCAGATAGAGTTTGAGGCAGGGGAAAAATTATCCAAGAGAATCCTGGATTTTTTGGTGAAACTTAAGCCTGTGGGAGAAGCAGGCCTTACATGGTAAGAGGTCCTCTTGTGGTCCTCTGAGAGGAAGACAGGGGGGCTGAGAAGATGCAGTTCAGGTGTGGAGGCTTGAAGAGGATAATCTGTTGCAGTGCTGTGGTGGGACATGTTCCCAGTATCCAAAACTTGTCTGTTACTGCTTCTTTGTCCTCTTTATTTGTCGGTGAAATAAATTCTTGTGTAGCTGTCACGATCCGATATTAGGATACAT